CCCTGCCCTCGCAGCGCGGCGGCCGCTCCGGGGCCCTTCATCTGCGGCGGATGGAGAGCGGGGGAGCTAAGAGCGCCGAGGAGTCTGAGTGTGTAAGTGCGCGGGGCGGGGCGGTCCCCGAGACCTCAGGGTCCCCCACGAGTTCGCATCGGTGGTCCCTGGGAGGTTCTACCGCACAGCCGCGGTAGATGGAAAGCAGATGTTTATTCAGAAATTGAGGGAGGCGAAGAAACCAGGCCTCCCTCGGAGGCAGTTTGTTGCGATTTACCTTTTTTTCCTCCCTGTTCAACCATCTTGTATTGAGTGTTTCCCTGTCCACTTGCATTTCTTTATTGGGCTCTGCACTTCTGGGCATCACAGCTAATTCATGTCTTCTCTTTAGGAGAGCGAAGATGGCATGGAAGGCGATGGTAAGTACCATCTTTTGCCTCACCCCGAGAATTGTCTCGCACATAAACGCCAAGTACCTGTTTCCCACGGTGAATGATCTCTCAGACTTTTATTGAGGGAGGATGCCAAGGGGTGGCTTTTTGTTTTTGTTTTTATGTTTGTTTGTTTTTTGGGGGGTTTTTTGGTACCGGGTATCGAACTCCGGACCTTGCGCTTGCGAGGCAGGTGGGGAGCCACTGAGCTAAATCCCAGGCCCTCAAGGGGTGGCTTTTTGTGACACGCTGTTAGCATAGGTTTTGGCACTCTGGTCCTGGCCTAGACATGCTCCCTCGACCAGTTTCCCCATGTGTAGGTGGAGACTGCTCACCTCATAGGTTGATGTCAGATTTAAGCGAGGATTTCAGCAGGATCTAACCTACAGAAGCAATTAGGAATATACATGTAGTGATTTCTGCCTTTTTTTTTTTCTTCATTTATATTTCTGTTTTTTTTTCAGCTGTTCTCTCGGATTATGAAAGTGCAGAAGATTCAGAAGTGAGTGTAATAGGTTTTTTCCTGTGGTGTAAGGTGGAAAATGTGTTTTTAAAACATGTATACATGTGTGTTATACAAACACTGTGATTTACTTATTTATCTTCTTGTGCAGTCTTCATTTATGTTTCTGGGTTTTTTGGGGGGAGTTCTTTGTTTTTTTTGAGACAGGATCTCACTGTGTGGTTTGGGCTAGCCTTGAATTCACTATATAACCCTAGCTGGCCTTGAACTTCCCCAAATCCTCCCACTTCAGTCTCCCAGGTGCTGGGATTACAGGCATGCACTACCATGCTCAGTTCTCATTTATGTTTCTTAAAATCGTAGGGTGGGCTGGGGATTTAGCTCAGTGGCACCCTGCCTGCCTCAAAAGCACAAGTTCATGGGTTTGATCCCCAGCACCCCTCCAAACAAAATAAAACAGAACGTAGGGAAACATCTTGTTCAGCGAATGATGGAAACCTGAGCCAAGCTCCTTCAAGCTACAAGTGTCTTACTGTTAGGTAGTAGTTGGCCTCTGTCCCTATTTGAAGGAAATAAGGTTCTAAATAAGAGGATGAGAGCATTGTGACGTCCTTCAAGAGATGTTTGAGGGTTCATTTTACTCTGTCTAGGTTGAGATGTCAGCCAGTTAGATGTTTTTTTTTCCCAAGAGTATCTGAAGACTGAAAGGACAAGATTCTGAGTGGTTTGTGTCAAAAGCATCCCTCAGTTTATAGGTGGGGATTTTCTGTCTCTTTAGGAGAAAGTTTCCCAACAGGCAACTTTTATGAGTTTATTTGATTGGTTAAATAACTACATACATATTGCATCAGGAATGGCTGTTTGTCCTACAGTTTTCTTGATTGGAGTATCTGGGTTTTTGTGGAGTTAAATGCAGAGATAATTGGGTTATGGGTCAAATATTGCCTTTTTTTTGGGGGGGTATATTTATTGAGGCAATCTTACTATATAGTTCAGGCTTCTTTGAATTCGCTGTATATCCCAGGCTGGCCTTGAACTTGGAGCAGTCCTCCTGCCTCAGCCTCTCAAGTGCTGAAATTACAAGCATGCTCCCCCATGCCCATTCTATTCTATAAATTTTATAGAACTGTTATTGTGTCTCAGACTCTTGATCCCTTGGAGCAGCAACAGTGAATACTATAATATTTAACTCCTACTTTCACAGCTCTTACAACTCAAGAAAGTCAAACACTCAGGCAGTCATATTGTCACCCAGGAAGTAACTTCCAACTCTTAGATGTCACGTACGCTGAGTTTGTGGCTCCTGATTTTGAAGAATGGATATGAGGACAAAGGAAGTTCAGAGAAAGAGAATTTTGTTGAGAGAAAGGTCCTGAGAGACAGGAGAGATCCTGAAAGTAGGTGGCCACTGCGGTTCTGTCCAAGAATGTTTTATACAGCAACATCATAATGTAGGTAGCTTTGAGTCAAACTACAGTCGACTTGTAAGATTGCCAGTCTAGTTGCTTGAGTAAGATTGATCCAGTAGGGAAGCAGGGCATGTAGCGAGGGCATATGGCAAGCAACATTAACTACAGTTTATCTGTAACTTTTTTTTTTTTTTTTTTGGTACGGGGGATCAAACTCCGGTCCTTGTGCTTGTGAGGTGTAGGACTCAGAACCACTGAGCTACATCCCCAGCCCTTATCTGTAACTTTTAACATAGAACAAAGGCATTCCTGAAGGGGGATGGGAATGTTGGTCAGGGTGTTCTGGTCACCCACCTGTGCGTCTGATGCCTGTCCGGCCCCACTGCACTGGTGGTGCTAATTACAGTGTACTCTCAAGCAACTGTTAACCTTGAGGGAGTCCTGCAGGCCTGGCCAGTGCATTTCCATCTTGAAGCATGGCTGTCTTCAAATTTGTGTGCATCTGACTCTTGGGGGACCCAGTCCTTCTCTGGCCACCCAAACTTAGCTGTCTGTGATAATATGATGTGACAACCCCGGGATTAACCAAGGTGTTGGCAGCTGGGCATTAAATTCATCATAGGACCAAGTAAGCTGGGCAGTGCCTTTTCCAGGCAGGGCGAAAACATAAGAAAGCACAGAGGCAGGAGAAAAGATTCATTATTTGGGAACTTGAAAAGTAGTTTGGTATGGTGGGAGTATTGTTGGGACAGGTGGGGCAGCAGAGAGAAAAGGCAGGTACCAGATGACACAGGGACTTGTTCTTTCCCTAAGTACCTGCTTTGTACCAAGACTGTGCTAGGCACTGGGTGAAGACTGACAGACCTCTTCCCTTGTGGAGTTACATTGTGGTTCAGAGAGGGGGAGAGATTAATTGATAAGATCCACGATGTTGGAAACATAGGGCACATTGGCAACAAATGGCAGGAGAATCTAAATGGGTTTAGGTTATCTGGAAACACGTAGAAAATGGGATGTGTCCTGAGGGGGAGCAGGATTAGCTGGGCAGTTTCTCTGCAGGGAGGGAACATTGGGACAGGAGGGAGCTCTGCGAGGATGGATTGAGTGGTGAGCTGGAGGACACGCAATGTTAATGTCACTGGAACATAGGAAAGCAAGAAAGTGAGGTGGGTTGAGAGGCGTTTTAGCCCTTTTTTAGTTTGTTTTGTTTGTTTTGTTTCTGTTGGTACTGGGAATCGAACTCAAAACCTTGCACTTGACAGGCAGGTGCTGTGCCACTAAGCTAAATCCCGGCCTGTTTTTGTTTTGTTTTGTTTTTTTGAGACAGGGTCACTAAGTTGCCCAGACTGGGCTTGAATTTACAATTCTCCTGCCTCAGCCTTCCAGAGTGCTGGGATTCCAAGCTCATCCCACCATGCCTGTCTTTGTCCGTATCTTAAAGTATCTTGTAAGACAGGTTAAAAGTATTTGGATTTTACTCTAAGAAAGTGATAAACAAGATGAATGTTTTAAACAAAAACGTGATGTAATCAGACTTAAATTTTAAGCACTCTTCTCCCTACTGGAACAGAAACTTGGAAGAGGGATACTAGCCTCAGAGGTTTATAAATTAACAAGATCTCAGGTTGATATTTATGCATAATGAAAGGTGAGAAGTAGCTATTTTACTTATTTATTTATTTTTGGTACCAGGGATCAAACTCAGAACTTTCTGTGTGCAAGGCAGGCAGTGGCTCCACTGAGCTAAATCCATAACCCAAGAAGTAGTTATTTTATGACAATGTGTTTTGTGTGCAGTGGGGACAAATGATCTGAGAGCAGCAAGGTTGGGGAGCAAAAGCATATTACAGAAGCAGTGGAAGCAGTGAGCATGGGATGGGACAGAACAGTGGCTGGGAAAGAGAAGCAGACAGCATCGAAGGTTCTAAGAGGCTTGAGATGTGCGACATTCGGGGTAGTGACAAAGACTAGAAGCTTGGGGTGGAGGGCTCAGCGAGGTTTGGTGTTCAGGACCAACAGGGCCTTAGTTTTCTGTAAGGAAAACAGTTGAGGTGTTGTCCCGATGGTGGGGAAGAATATGGGCCAGGAGGTTCAATGTGGAGGGTGAATAGTGAGGGTTTGTTAGGGCACCCCAAAGGACACAAGGTGCTGCTCTAAAGAACGCGTGTCCCTGTGAGCCGGGCCACATGGGAGGGCGCTGAGAGGTATCATTGAATCAGAACCTGAATTAAAAAGGTTTCAAAAGTACGTCCAGGGCTGGGCATGGTGGCGCAAGCCTGTAATCCCAGGGCTTGGGAGGCTGAGGCAGGAGGATCGCTGAGAGTTCGAGACCAGTGAGTTCCAGAGCAGTCTCAACTACATAGTGAGCCTCTGTCTCAAAAAAAAAGAAAAACAAAAAAACAAAAAAACAAAAAGTACATCTAGGATGATGGATGTCATTGGTGATTACCAAGACAAGCTCAGTAGGAAGAGATTTTAGGAAGGACAGCGCTGAGGTAGGTTCCAGGTGGCTTATCTCCTTTGTTTTGCAGTGCTGGTGATGGAATTAGGAATCTTGTGCGTGCTAGGCAAGTGCTATACCCATGAGCAACACCCCCAGCCAAGTTTGGCGTATCTTGAAATTAAGGAACTGGTGGGACTTCCAAGTGGCTATATCTAGTTGAAGATTTCTAATTAAGTTCTCATACCTTCCTGAGTTTGGTGGCAGTTGTTCTGAGACAAGGTCTCACTGTGTAGCCCAGGCTGGCCTTGAACACCAGCAGTCCTACCCCAAGCTCCCCAGACCTGGGGCCCTGGGTATGCACCATCTGGCCCGGCTCTGAGTCTTTGATTTTGAATTATTCTAAAATTCTGGTTTGTAGCCTTTCATGTCTTATAATTCTGTATTTCTGTTTCTCTGTCTCTCCTAAGGATTGAACCCAGGGCTTTTCCACTGAACTGCCTCCCTAGTACTTCCCCCCACTTTTTTCTGGTAATGGGGATCAAACTCAGGACCTTGCACTTGTGAGGCGGGTACGGTGCCACTGATCTAAATCCCCCGGCGCTACCAACCCCTCATTTTAAAAAATTTTCAAGACCGGGTCTTGCTGAGTCACTAAATTGTGGGGCTGGGCTCTAACTTGGAATCCTCCTGCCTTAGCCTCCCTGAGTATTGAGATTATAGGCGTATGCTTGGCTATAAATTAATTATACTTGATATCTTTTTAGCTTATTTTGAAATAGAAGTTACATTTTTGGTATGATATACACATGTCTGTTTGGCATGCATTTATTGAATGTTATTCTTATTTTCTCCTTTGGGATATAACTTCCATATTTGCTATTTTCTGTACATTTAGTTTTACTGAACCTTCTAGGCATCACAGTGTCGGATTGCTTTTCAGACTTCACAGCTCCCTCTTCTGTTGTTTGCCTGTGGTGGTAGTAGCTTGCCAAGCACAGTAGCTCACACCTGTAATCTTGGCATTCTGGGATTCTGAGGCAAAAGGATCACAAGTTCCTGCCCAGCCACTTAGCAAGGTCCTGTCTCACAATTAAAAGGAGAGGAAAAAAAGGCTGGGATTTAGCTCAGTGAGAAAGCCCTTAGTTCAATCCCTAGTTGCACAAAAACAAGGTACGGTAGCTGCTTTTGGAGATTTCTTTGTTCTGGACCTTCCTAGAAAGCAGCCAGCAGCTGAGTTGCTTTGGCCCCTTTAGCCATTTGTTTGTTTTTGTTTCTGGTTTTTTTTCTTTTTTTTTTT